ACAATCTCACAATGAGAAGCAAATGGTTAGTGACAGTCACAATTCACCGAACACTGGAAAAAGTCAACAGACAGAAAGGGAGCAACCAATACATGTTTTTAAATATCCTTTCACTGTATATTAATGAACACTATCTTAAGCTAAATTTCCTACACAATCATACTTTTTACTTAATAAAAAAATTTCTTACAAATCTAAGCTAAAGTCACATGTGCCCTAGACTAGACAAGATAGTCCAGGATCCTTGATTCTCATGTTATTTTTCTGTTAATAACAAAGTAGCATGCCTCTTTCCTGCTGAAGCATAGCTCTTCTGTCATTAAGTCTCTAAAGATAATGTATTGCTTTAACAGTAAGAATAAGAATGTGACTAGTAATTTACCAATGAGTACAGATTGCAAGGTAAGTTAGTTGTGTATAGAGATCCAGAAGAGCAGGTGGAATGACATCACTAAAGAAGTATGCAGGAGCATGGAATACAGTTAGTGCTACATAATTTAGATTCTTCTATTAAAATTATAAAATGTCACAAACATAGTTTTGGAAAACTATTAATAATGCTATTATATCTATGCTTTCCAAAACCAAACTCACTGCCATTGAGTTGGATCTGACTCATAGCAACCCCTCCTTGGGTTTCTGAGGCAGTATCTCTACAGAAGTAGATTGCCCCATCTTCCTTCCGAGGAATGGCTGGTGGATGTGAACCACCAGCCTTCTGGTTAGCAGTCAAATGCCTTATGAACTACACCACCAAATCTATGTTTTAGGTGGTGAGAAAATTCAAATGCAAAACTAGTAAAAAAATAACATGTTTGGGGGGAAAAAAATTTTCCTAACAAATGAATCAGAACCCAAGCCTTGTGTGCCAGAGTTAATTCACTAACAATGCAGCAGTCATTAAAATCACAAATTCTACAGTTCATCTGTACCTCTAAATGTGCTCTATTTTATTAGGGGGAAAGAAAAGACTTCTAAATCTCCACTGAACATAAAAAACAGCAGGAACTCAATATGGAAAAAAAAACAAAACTGTAAGCAAAGTTATTGGCTTGCCTTCTTTGCAAGCAGTATTTAGATTTATTATTAATGAAGTTCAAAAGTTATAACTGAGAAAATGCTGGATACTTTGAAGGAGGGGGCCACCTCAGCATGACAGCTGCTAACTGGAAAATGTTCAAAAGGGAAGGGAGAAGGCAGGGTGTCTGCACACTCCTCTTTCTTTATTGCAACATTTGATTTTTCACTTTAAGAAGAAAAAAGGCCAACATTTGTATAACTCTAAAAAGAGACCTAATATAAATAAATTGACCCCCGGTTGATTAAGCCCAGCTAACACCCTAGCAACAAGACTTCCTTGCAAAATAAAAAATTAAGATTGAATTTAAAAAAACTGTATTTTAAATAAAATTATATCTCTGTAGTGAATTTTAATGAAGATAGCCTAATGCCCAAACTTGTTCAATCTTTTTCTGCCATTATGCTTACAAAATTAAAACACTATTTATAATGCATACCATTTAATGTCTTTATTTGTCTAAATGTTTATTTATATTAAGAGAATGTTTCTTTTCTTATTCTGTGTTGACTTTTTTTTTCAGAATACTTTCAGAACTGACAACCTTCCAGAAAGTAAAATCTAACAGTGTTAACTTAATAGTTCAAATCATTGGTCAGTTTTTTACTAAAAGTTGTGTTTCTTTAAAATCTTTTAAATTGTTTATTTATTAGAAAAGTCATGAAATCAATTTCTTTACAAGGTACACATTTTTGTCTCCTCAAATATGGTGATAGACTCCTTAAAATGTGTTCTTATATATACAATTTTTACATCTAATTCAGAATGATGAACAAAATTTTTCATGATTAATGTTAATACTTTATTGACATGAGACAGGAAAGTAATAACCATACCTAGATTTAAAGTTAAATTCATGACACCATTTTGATTGTGCATGTTAGCTACAATTACTTGCACCGCTCATTCTGAGCCACTAGATGGTGTAAAAAAATAAATTAAAACGGTAAAATATCATTACATCACTAGGATATCTAAATATAACTCTAAGAAAGATTAAACATATTTCTAGACACATAACAACTCTTGTAGTTTCTGTGCCAATTGCACTCTTAAAAAAATCTACCAATGTTTAATATCAGCTTGACCTTGACCTAGAAACAAGCCCTTTTGAGCAATTATTTTTCTCTTCTACAAAGCCTTGAGTTCTGAATTTTATAATACCAAGCATTCAAAACTGCAGTTATCATTTTGTATATTAAACAAATTTAAGATATTATCTTATAGCCTGTGTTTGCCAAACTTTTGATAAAACTGGAAGGCTAAGCCAATAAAAGATTCTTAGAGATTAATTATCCAGAGATTCCCATCTGAACTTGCCCAGGAGAGTTAGTCTTCACAAACATAACCCAAGCCCCAAACAACCTAGAAACCACTAGCCAAGATGCCCATCAGTGGCCTAGAATTTGTCCAAGGGAGAGCTATGCTATGTTCTTAAGTGTTCTTTCTTTTTACTCTCCCCATGATTTACCTGTTTGATGACCTATCCCACTAGGTCCACAGTTGGGAAACTATGGGTATTTAATCATTTTATCCAGTAGTAATAATGTGTTAACAATGTCTTATCTCTTCTTCTAGAAAACAAAATGAGGCCCAGCTAAAATTCGTATCTCTAGAAGGTCCCTTATGAAATCATGCTGATGATAGAAATTCCAACCCTGTGAAAGGCTGATAAAGGAAGTTTTTTTGTTTTGTTTTGTTTTTTATCATATCCTTCTCAAGTCATAGCATTTAAAAAGTTTAGATGGTAGTATATGCTTTCCATGAGCTGGATCCCCAGTAACCTTAGGTTGATGATCAAACTTCATAAATAAACTACAATCTCCACAAAATGGGGTTGGGAGAACAGGAATTATCTCCTCTGTAATCCTAGAAGTATGACACTCATCTATGATTATATATTTAATTTCATATTAACAGAGAATTATTTTCTGAGCAATGGTCGATGGTAGAAATGAGACATGTGTATGGAATGTTGCTGATTTAAAGCCTATCCTGGCAGGTGATTGGTGCTCCAACAAGGTTTTCAGTGACAAAGAAAACCTGACTAATAAAGAACATTTTGGGAACAGATCCACATGGGCTTTACAAGCTCCTTATCTGAAAAAGAGTACAAATGGTTACCTACAATTTATCCCTATACTCTCAAATTTCAAGTGGAAGTGAATCGACTTTTAAATTTCATACACAACTGCAGTGAAACCGATGAAAGAAAAGTAAATCTGAGGGAATACTTTCATGATTCCAAGAATGTCTCTTGACAAGAACTGAAACTAATGAGTTTGATTTCTGTATTAAGTAGTTAAAAAGCTATTCCCTTAAATCAGGACAATTACATGCTCAATAGAAGGCTTAATCCAATAGTTGTGATGTGGCTATCTACAGCTTTCAAGAACTGAAAGTGTCTTTCCAAAAAATTATACTAATGAGCAGAGAATGGAGAGAAATAAGTGACAAGCCTTGGGTTTGAACATCTCAAGTAGCAATCATCACTGTTAGCTGTGTTTACATAGGCAATATCTTTTTCTCCAATAATCTGCACATGCTTTTATCTTATTCCTTAATGCCTAAGACACTTGACTGCTAACCAGAAGGCTGGTGATTCAAACCCACCAGCCACTCTTTGGAAGGAGGATGGGGTAATCTACTTCCGTAGTGATACTGCCTCAGAAACTCAAGGAGGGGTCGCTATGAGTCAGATCTGACTCAACGGCACATAACAATAACAACAACAACAGAATAGGCCTTGGTACACTGTGAGTACTTTATAATGTTTTAAATTAATAAATCAAGACAAGAAGAAAGGAGGAAGACAGAAACAAACAGAATAAAGAAAAGGAAAACAATTGGTCTGGTTGTCAAGATGTTTGGCTCAAGCACTGTTCTGGCACTTTCGGGCCTGAGTTCCCTCATCCATAAAGCAGAGGATAGATAACCGTTGCCAAGATCCTTACTTAGCTCTAATGTTCTATAAGTCTCTGTGTTATGATTTAATGCGCCAGTCATCTAGTGTTAAAATTCAGTAAGTAAATTTTATTTACAAATTCTTTTCTGTATCTAACAAGTCATTAGCTCTCTGAAAAGTCCAAAATATTTCTCTGATCAAGAAACCACATTACACTTTTACATTTATGATTTATGTAACACTCCCCTTCTTGTATTTAATTTAAGATGTTCTGTATAGAATTTCCAAAATAGTCTAATAGTGGAGAAAAGGATTTTTTTTATCCCCATGTTATAGTAAGGGAAATTATATATGAAAATTAAAGGAGTTCACATAGGTCACTACAGTAAGAAATCTGATTCTTACCTCTAAGGACAAAAAGATTCTGGGTAGTCCAGTATCTTAAGAGGCAGAGACAACAACTTTTTAATATATAAAGATGAGTACCATTCTGTGTATAAATACAGTATGTTAAGCTTTAAAAAATTACCTAAACCTGTCTGAAGAGAAAAGCATTGCTTTTAAATTGTCGGAACACTCACTTTATTTACATAAAGATGAAAAACTTGTTCTATAAACACAGTGTTTCCAGTAGTGAATGGCAGACAAAATCAGAATAAGCACACAGAAGAATAAAAAGGAAGAGGAAAGAAAAACATAATAAATAACCTAATACCTTACAATGTTAACTTTCACATAAGTATATTGTTTCTGGAGAAGGCAGTCAGTGGATGTGAGCCAAGGGCTGAAGTGATAGGTAAACACTGTTAAGTTGGATTCTGTTATCTGATTGTGTTTAAAATTTGATTATATTTCACTTGACAAAATAATTAATTATTGTGAACTCCCAATTGTTAACAAGGACCTACGAGGAGAAGTCCAATTGGCATTTTTCCCCCAATGCTGGAAATCTAAATGCATACAAACCTAGCTTTGTATCTATCCCTTGACTGCTGTCATTTTCGGATATCTTCTTACCTTGCTAAGAATGTAAATCACATCACCACGTTTAAATGACAACTCATCAGAGAGAGCTCCTGTGCAGTCCCACAAACCCTGGTAAAAATTAGCATAATCGGTGCTTTTATCTCCTAGGAAGAAGAGAGAGAAAGGAGGAGTTAGGTCTTTCAAGTAATCTTTGTTGTAAAATGAACCCATTAGAAACCAAAGAACCACTCACTTCAAACCACCAAAAATAGGCTAAAAAATTCTGTCCTGACTCAAAGAACATTTTAATATGCCTACAAAAGAATCTTTTTTCTTAAAACACTATCATCTAATTAAGACCATTTTTTAAAAAGATCTGTTTTCTTCTCTCTCCCTTTCTTCTTTTCATCTAAAACCTGTAATTGCTATGTGTTCTCATCAAACCAGTACCTAAAAATTGCTTCCCACTTATCTTATATAACCAACCTAAACCTTTTAAAGGAGGTAATTCAGCCCTACTACATAATAATGAGCAATGTTCAAGAGTTGTGAAGAACATGTTGCAAAATAAAGGGACACTTAGTTAAAAATAATAATAAAGAAGCTGAAGTACAAGTATAAAGGCAAACTAAGAAACAAAATGAAACAAACAAAAAATCTTAATATGAAAAGCTGGTTAAAATAAAAAGGATAAAGTAGGAATAATGTAAAGAATAATTGCCGCTCTTTTCTTTGGGGACATTTGTATCCAAAGCCTCTCAATGTTATTTCTAAAATATTTTAGGAACTTTGAAGTTACTGGTGCTGAAGCTGCATTTTTCAACTTATTTTTGTCAGCCCCAGTTTAGGATGTTAGGCTCTGAATAAACATGGAGCATACACTGGCGTTATCAGCTCATCCTTCTAACAGCATAAGCACAATGGATGTGATGTGCTCAAACTGCCATACAGACCATTAACTGATTGATTATTTAGCGCTCTCCACTCTGTAATACCACAATAAACCGGGTAATAAATGCTTTGTCACTTATACAATGTGGGTCTCCTCAAACGCAGCACAGAGTTAAATACACTGGATGCTTTTGTTACACTGAGAACTGTTTCCTGTTTTTAATTTCATGATAATTGAGTTTTGATGAGTTAATGCAAAAAGAATGCAAGTAATATCAATAAGATTTCCGTGTATTCACTAACCAGGCAGAACATATACGTGCTGACAACTTCCATCACTGGAATGTCATCTTTGAATTCTGAAGGGATACCCGTGGAGACACATGCCGGATCAGGACTGTCATCTTAGTTTTGTTATATGGCTCTCAAACAGCAGGTTCCTTGGCAACACCACCACAACTATTCACTTTAGCATGACATTAGGGTGTTTGTTTTATTATATTACATTGTTTGCAATTTACATGAAGTGGTAAGTTTATCAGAAATGTTTAAAATTCTCTTTAATATCTTTCAAAAAATATTAAAGCCAAAAAAAGAGAATTTGAAGAATATAAAATATGAATATTTAGGAAGTAGGATGGTACTTTGCAATTACACTTCTAAAAAAGTAAACAAGGACTAGAATACACAACTTAGCAAAACCCTCTATTACTTTTTTTTTCTCCTGTTTTCTAAGAATCAAAAAAAGGGAGCAAAAGAGGGGGAAGTGGAGGAAGGAAGGGAAAAGAAGGAGAAAGGGAAGGAGACATAGAGAGACAGACACCTTATGGACTTTTCCATACCAGCATCTGAGCGCTCATCACTGACACCAGCAGGGATGTCCACAAGCCTGGGAATCCAACCAAGAGCTAACAATGCTTGTGACCACCCTTCATTACGCTTTCTTCTTCACAAGCATATATTAAGTAAATTCTATAAATGGACACTAGAGGGCACTCTGACTGGCCAGATCACTTCAAACATTGTCAATTTTTTTAAAAAATTACTTAATAATAAAGTGACTGATTTCTTTTGAAAACCACTTATTTAGACAAATAGAGATTTAGAAGTTGAAACATTCTCATCAGACTAATCTACTGCTAAATGGGTCAAATGTTGCGCCCCATTCAGTTCGTCAGTGTCAATTTAAAAGTCAAGGAATTAGAGCAAAAAGAGAATGACATCATTTCACATGCAAGGCCCTCCCCGGCAGGAACTGGCCAGGAGGTAAAACGATCTGAATAGCTGGTTTCCCCAGTCAAAGTTCCTATGTGTTCCCCACGCTGCTCAGCCTTAGGCTTGGTCCAAAAAGGCTGAAGAAAAAAACATGGGCTGAAAATTAGAGTAGAGGTTTTGGCTTAGCTATGGTGTCCCAAAGGTTTCCCCAGCTGTCCAGCTGCATTTTCTTTTTTCAGATTCTCTCACAATCGTTTTTTCTCTCAATAGATTTTCAAAAGAGAGAGGAGGGGGAGAGAAGGAAAGAAAAGTCTATGGTGACTTCTAACACATAATCCTTATCACTTTGGGGTCCTTCTTCCCCTTGATGCGCTTGGAGAAACTCACATTAACACTAATGGGAGTCACAGGAGCACATGAGGGGAAGGGAGACCCCCACCGTGTGCAAGATGCATCTCTCCCTAGATGTGCATCATGAGCATTTCATTAAATCTCACTGCTGTAAAGAGGCAACAGAGCTTGTGATTCGGCAATGCTGGGAAAAAGATACATTTTCAACTGTGTTTTTCATAATCTTGATGATGATGCTACCCAAAGACCAACTTCATTTCCATGTCCCACACGTAAACTCTGTTAAAGAATAATAAGTCGTTGATGTCACACAGCTACATGTACATACAATTTACTATTCTACCTATTTCAGCATGCAACACTAGTTATGAAGCAGAAGAATCACCACCAGGGAGAAAACCTGCCAGTATGTGTTTATTAGTTGTCGTCTCCTCAGGAAAGCAATGTTTAAATTCTTTTTCTTTTGAACACTTTATTGTGGTTTGGGTGAAAGTTTACAGAGCAAATTAGTTTCCCACTCAACAATTTATACATATTTTGTTCTGGGACATTAGTTGCAATCCCTGCGATGTAACAGCACTCTTCCCACTTCTTTCCTGGGTTCCCTGTTTCCATTTGCCCATCTTACCTGCCCCATTCTGCCTTCTGACTTTGTTTTTAGGCAAATGATGCCCATTTGGTTTCATATGGTTGGCTGTTCTGAGACACACCTTCCTCACGGGTGTTACTGTCCATTTTATAGGCCTGTTATGTGGCTGAAAGGTGATCTCTGGAAGTAGGTTCAATTCCAGGTTTGAAGAGTGGCTAAGGGCCACAATCTTGGGGTTCTACCAGTCTCTATCAGACCAGTAAATCTGGTCTTTTTTATGATTTTGAATTTTGTTCTACATTTTCTCCCACTCTGTCCAGGACCTTCTATTGTGATTCCAATCAGAGCAGCCCATAGTGGTAGCCGGGCACCATCTAGTTCTTCTGGTCTCAGGATACTAAAGCCCGTGATTCATGTGGTCTGTTCAGTCCTTTGGACTAATTGTTTCCTTGAGTCTTTGGTTTGATTTACTCTTCTTTGCTCCAGATGGGAAGAGATCAATAGCTGTATCTCAGATGGCTGCTTGCAAACTTTTAAGAGCCCATCACTATTCACTAAGGTAGAATGTAGAACATTGTCTGTGTGGACCATGTTATGCCAATTGACCTACATGTCCCCCAAGACTATGGCCCTAAGCCCTCAAGCTGTTGACTCAGTCCCTCATGGTGTTTGGTTGAAGCAGTGTTTCAATTCTCGATATGAAATCTGGACATGAAAATTAGGAATCACCTTATTCCTTAATGAGCAACGAGTTCCTCTACTTTACATTTTTTCCCCTTTTCTTTAAGTGTCGCTGAATATACACAAAGAATTAAGCATGGATGGGTCAAAAAAAGTAAACATTGTTCATAAAAAAATAATCCATTTGATACATGTATTAAAACAAATTACGGAGTGGAGCACAATGTCATAAACCACAGATAAATACACATTCTAAAATACAAATTAACCCTGTTTAGTTGTCTTCAGTGCATTGATCAACTGTCATATTCTGTCCACATAATTACCTGTTGTGTTTTTTTTCTCCCAAAATTACAAAACTCACCTTATGTTTCTTGTTCCAAGAGGCATGAAATATTACCAAAAAAAAAAAAAAAAAAAAAAGGAGAGTAGGGAAGGATTTAAACAATATCCTTGCTCCTGCTTTTAAAAACCTACAAAGCCAGATCAGTGAACATACAGAAGTGTTACGAAAGTATAAACTAAGTGTGTAGATACTACAGAACTGAAGAGATTTTCACAATATAATGACAATGGATGAAGCATATGATAAAATAATGGAGAATTTCTCCCTGGTATAGGTTTTAAATACTATTTAGGAAGGTAAGCATATTCTAAAGTGTTCCAGAAAATCAAATAGAATCTTTATTTTATACAAATAAATATATGTGTGTGTGTGTGTATGTGTAAGATATGTAAGGTTAAACATGAATGAACTTGTTAAGAAACAAGATTAACTTTTATCCTCTTTTTGTTAAAATATTTTACATTAGAGAAGCCTATAATTTTTTTTAGTAAAATTAGTCAATATGAAAAATACATAACATTCTTGAGTAAGGTTAGAAGTTCATGTCATGTGATGCTTAGCAAGATAGTAATACCCCTGTCAGCTCACTGCCCTACATGGCAAACAAACTGCTAGTGTTACATTTTTGACAGCCTAGGAAAGATCAAAGGTCACTGCTATGCAAAAGCTTTAAAACTGTTGCTTGAAAAGAATTTCATGTCACTAAAGATAAGAATTATTGTAGTGTAGTGCTTCATAGCTAGTCCATGAAAAACTAGTTCAACTTATTGCATTCTTTTAAGGAAAAACTGATTTTCTCCCCTGCCCTCAAAGGCAAAAATTTGGGAGATGGGTACTTTAAAAGGGTTTTTGAAAAATACAGTTGCTTTGAGCCAAAATATTTGTTACCATGGAAAGAATATCTACTATGTGTCTACATTCTACACCTGAATTGAATTTTTTAAAAAAAGAACTATAAGCTTTATAATACATAACCCAAAACATATATACTCAAATTACTATTGAACATGGTCCTCAAAGTTTCACTACACCGAGTGTTTTATAGCTGCATTTTACAGGACTGGAGTGTTAACATTAATGACTTTGTCCTTGCTTCCTTTCTAAGAAAAGCAAACCAAAACCCTTTACAGCAACCTGCTCCTGCTTTCCTGCCCAGGTCCGGAAATCAGGCCTCTGTTTCCTTTCCACATGTCACAATAGGAAGGACTCTGGAAAGCTACTTCCTGAACACACGCTTCTTGTCTACCCTGCCTCTGACAGCTTGGAAGAGTGATGTATGGACATATGAGAGAAGGGAAGGTGACCCTGACTACAGTCCCTTACAGGACATAGGGATGATATGGCAGACCTTGCCCCAGCTGACATGTGGCTGTGAAGAGGTGTAAAGTACTGATAAGAAGGCAGTCCTCCCTCCCTCCCCACCCTGGTATAACCTAATTGCTAGTTTATCAATAGTAACCTCATGCTTGCACTGCAGATATGGTTTATCTCCTGCTATTTAGAAATAACAACCAGCAAGAAAAGTTGCCCGGTATCATGTGATTTCATACATACTGTGTACAGTTATTTTTCCAGTCTCACTCATAATTAGTACTTGGGGCCATGTGCCAAGTAGAAATGGATAAGAGGAATATCCTTCCTAGCCTTCTAGGCCACCAGTGTCCTTTTCCAATTTTTAAACTGCTGTCACTGGACTCTGGCATTTCTTACCCAATTCATTTGCTTTCCGTGTTAATCATATGCAATGAAGATATGCATGGCCAACATTTAAACAGGCTGCAGATCAATTAGCGGTCTTAAGTTTATCTGATTTTTATCAAAGAAGACAGAGCTGTGGGTCGATTGTCAGAGCCTGTGTCAAGTTGACCTTTTCAGAGATGTCTACATTGCCAGTCCCCTGGGCAACTTGTTGTCCCCTGTTAGTCTCTGAATGGCAGAAGTCTGTTCTGCTCAAGCACAAAGTATACACAGATGTCTATATTACATTCTTATAGGTTTGACAGCAACTGCATGTTGTATCTATAAACTGTCCTTTAGCAGTGACACTTCCTCAATGATGATAAGCTAATTTATGCAACTAAATCTCCTTTGTGCAGAAATGAAAGCTAATTGAGTCATTACAAAGTAATTCAGGAAGGAATACCTTGTATAAATTGGCTTACTTTATAAATCCTTCTCAAGTGGTTTTCATGCATCCTAAATGGGACTAAGCAGCTTAGCAGCCATAAGATATCCAGAATGAACAAACCAACTTCAAGGAGCTGTGCAAATGCCTTTAGAGCAGCAAGTTTTGTTGACAAACACAAAAGTTAACAAAACCAAAATAAGCTTTACCAGGGCACTACAAAATTCATTACCCGAGGTGTGATGAACACTGTCCTGACTCAGCTTCCTTTGTTCTTCCATTTTCACTGAAGCATTGTCTTCTTCCTCTTCTGCAAATAAACAAAATAAATGACATGACATGCTGAAGGGTTTCTTTAGGGACAGCAACACAGGGTTCATGCCATTGTACAAGCAAAACTAAAAGTTTGTAACACATAAATATCACTTTTCAAAGAATAAAGGTAATCCACATTATATTCCTTTTTCAGTCATCTGAAGTTGAACAAATGAACCTCTTGCTATTTCCAAATAGCAACCTGACCAACTGGTTAGATAAAACTTAAGGTACGTGCTAATGCTTTACAGATTTTGTTTTAAACGTGTACAGAAATTCATTTGGAATAACTGTAAATTCAGTAAACACTTGCCTTGTCATTCCACATTATACTGATACACTACATGATACTGTGGCAGGAGGACCACAGATAAAATCACAGTCCCTAAGACATTTATAAAGAGAAAATGTATGAGATGAAAACCTGCAAGTTATTTATTATCAGACACTTTCTTATGTTTTCTCACTTCATCTTCACAGAAGGAGAGAAGGAAGATCCTCATCCTTCAAGGCAGTTCCACAAAATTATACTGAGGGCCTACCCTGTGTCATAGGCCATGGCAGATGTCAAGATTTCATAGATAAATAATTTTTGAATCCTCAGTTTACCGATGAGTAAACTGATACTCAAAAAGTGAGGTAACTTCAGAATTTTATTATTCAAACTTAGTTTCTGATTACAAAGCCCACATATTTTATCCTATACAAGTATTCAGCATTTTTCTATATTCTTTCTATACTCTTCCATCACATTCCTTTCCCAAGTTATAGGAAGACATGATAAAATTAAATAAGAATAGTTTTAAGCAGTATCATTAGACTATTTAATTCTTTAATATCAAAGAAACATGTATTATATTACTACTTTCCCCAGCTGAAAATTTATATACAATTTAGAAGTACTTAAAAGGGCACAAAAACAAAATGGCATGCCAAAGAATAACTGAGTTTAGAAAGAATAAGAAAATATACAAAACACAATACATGTCATTACGACTATTAAATAATTCCATCAAGAAATCTTTGTGTATTAACTACATGTAAGAAAGAAGATCTATGAGGGAGATAATTATATAGGAGCTTCTGCCCTCAGGAAGTTGTCAGGATCTAAAGGAAAATGGGCTCGGTGGCATAAACCTGGAAAGTGAGCAAAGTACTAAAGAAATTGGGGAATACCATGAAAGCTTTGAGGGATGGGAGAATTTGCTTGAGGAAAGATGGGAAGGAGGGTATGTCCAGACAGAGAGAAGGATGAACAAAGAAGGCAGCACAATCAGATTCACCTTGGCTAAAGAATGTGGTACTTACAGAGGAAGAGCAAGATGGGAGATAATGCTAGTTTGGGCCAGTTGCTGAAGGGCCATGAACATTTCTGCTATGAATTTCAGACTTTATTTGGTGGGTAATAAGAGTTCCAGAAGGCTTTTGAGCAGGAAAGGATATGAGTGGAACTATGAGGAACAGTAATCTGATCACATTGTCCAAGATAAACCTGCAGTGGGGACCTGGGGAATAGAGAGTACTCACAAGTCTAGTAAAGGAGAAGGTAGTCCTGAACTGAAGGGACAAAGAAAATGGGCAGGAGATGGATATGAGAGGAAAAGGGAAGTAGAATCGATAAACTTTGTGACTGAGTGGATATACAGGGGTGAGGGAAATTAAAAAAAAAAAAAGTAACTAAGGATTGTGAACTTAGGTTACTGAGATACTACTATTTTGTCTCCAAAAAGGGGATTGCCAGGATTAAGTTGTTTTGATGGGGGAAATTTAATGTGCTGGTAGGGCAACCCAGGGGCAACTGGAAAGAAGCAACAATGGAGTTTGGTAGAGAGTTCAGGTCTGCAGATGTAAATTTTGAAGTCTTATGCAAATATAAACAGTGATTAATCAAGATCTGCATTTCAAATCAATTTTGAGAGCCACCATACTGACAAGACAATTATTAACTGTTTTGAATTTTTGTAAATTAATTTAAACAAAATAATGAAAGTCCTAATATTAAGGAACAGCTGGAAATACTTAGCACTTTATATGTATTAGGTTGAGCAATGTGAAATTACCACTTTTTAAGGTCATGCTCAATGTCAGCAATTTCATATGGTTCAGTCAAACAGTAATCATTCACATGCACACCCATGTTCAGCGCAGCACAATTCACTGTAGCAAAGAGATGGAAACAACCTAAATGCCCATCAACAGATGAATGGATAACCAAACTATGGTACATTCACACAATGGAATACTATGCAACATTAAAGAATAATGAAGAATACACGAATCATCTCACAACATGGATGAATTTGGAGGACATTATGCTGAGTGAAATAAGTCAATCACAGAAAGACAAATATTGTATGAGTCCATTATTGTAAAAACTCAAGGAAAGGTTTATGCAGGGAAGGAAACTCACTTTGTTGTTTACCAGGGGTGGGAGGGAAGAGGAAGGAAAACTTTGGACTAGTTGGTGATCACATGGTGATTTGAGTGAGGGGAGGGATGGTATGAAAAAAGCCTGTGACCAGTATGGTGACAATGGGGAACGGGAGAACACAGAAATGTGCACACAAGATATAGAAAACAGAGCCAAATACTATTACACGCATAATACTGCATTACCACTGACACCAAGCACTCAAACCAAAAAAAAACAAAAAAACTTTCTGCCATCGAGTCAATTCCGACTCATAGACCCCCTTTGGGTTTCCAAGGCAGTAAATCTTTATGAAAGTAGACTGCCCACTCTTCCTTCCGCAGTGTAGCTGGTGGGTTTGAATCACCAATCTTCTGGTTAGCAGTCAAATACCTTAGGCATTACATCACCAGAGCTCCTTGCACCAAACACTAGGCTATGAGTAAATGCATAGACAGGTGAGAAGATCAGGTGGGGGTAAGCAGACAGGAATTATCCACATACATTACAGAGGAAATACAGGACAAGGTTAGAGTAGCTTCTCAGAGACAACCAAATACTTTTAGGGTATCAATCACTGGGTCTGTGGGCTTGGGACCATAGTCTTGGGAGACATCATGCTCAATTGGCACAACATAGTACTGATGGTATAGTGCCTAAGGCATTTGATTGCCAGTCAGAAGGCTGGCGTTTCAAACCCACCAGCCACTCCTCAGAAGGAAGACTGGCAATGTATTTCCAGGGATACTGCCTTGGAAACCCACAGAGGGTTCGCTATGAGTCAGAACCGACTTGATGGCACTAAGTTTGGTTTCTGGTTTGAGTACATCAAATTAATGACTAATTAACATATATGAAAGAGGAAGGTGTTTTCATATGGATTTTAAAGGTAGAAGGGACATCTACATTCCTACCTATTCATTTTACAGACAGTTATTTTTCTAAAAGGTGAAGGAGAAAGCTTTCCTTACTATTCAGACTTTCTCTTTTTCTAATGCTACCGTCCTTTCACAAATTCAATAAAAAAAACTCACTGCCGTCTACTTGGATCCGACTCATAGCAACCCCTCCTTGGGTTTCAAGGGGGTATCACTACAGAAATAGATTGCCCCATCTTCCTTCCAAGGAGTGGCTGGTGGGTTTGAACCGCCAGCCTTCTGGTTAGCAGTCAAATGCCTTAGGCATTACGCCACCAGAGCTCCCACAAATTCGATTGTTGTTGTTAGTTGTTGCTGTTATGTGCCATCGAGTCAGACCCGACTCATAGCGACCCCTCCTTGGATTTCTGAGGCAGTATCACTACGGAAGTAGATTACCCTATCTTCCTTCCGAGGAGGGCTGGTGGGTTTGAACCACCAGCCTTTTGGTTAGCAGTCAAGTGTCTTAGCCACTATGCTACCAGAGCTCCCACAAATTCAACAGCAAGGGGTAAATTAAAAAATAATTAAGTGCACTTGTCCTCAGACAAACCATAACCCCATCAATACAGTAAGTACTATTTCTGGCTCTTAAAAAGGGATGGTGGGATTTAGACTGGCAATGTCAGCCTCAAGACACCAGAAAAACTAATTCAGATTACACGGAAAAACTCTGATCTTTGGCAAAGTTAACAATGAATTTAGAAGAATTCATTTACTATAAATATATTTTTATTTTATTAAAAATTTCAATGCCTGTAATATGTGCTGGGGACTATAAGGAGGTATTAGAGAGCTTTGTCCTAAAGGAATTCATTCTTAAATTAACAGAACAATGGTATAAAAATCTATTTACTTGAGTATTAGTATGTACTGTGAAGCATCTGAACTGAAATCTATGGCAGATGCTTAATAGGCAAGGTTTAGGAGGATGAGATGCTCGTTAAAAATACTTCCTTTCTCCCTGTCAAACTAGTACTGATATTTTTAGGTCAAGGCCTTTATGCATTTCATCCATCAATTTTACTTAACAATATTCAAACAATTCATTTTATCTTAGGCTAAGACTACAAATATCATCCATATAAAAGACAATAAAATCAAAATTGATAATTGTGTCTTCTTTTTTAACTCTTACAGAAAAAATACTCAGACCAAACCTTGAATAGAAATTGACCCAAAGAGATGTTCAACAAATACTGAGTGAACAAATGGATTTAAAAGTCATAAAAAATCCTATTATATTCACTTATTAACAGGGCAAACCTATCTCAAACAAATATGTAATTAAAAAAAATACGTAAGGACAAGTCACTAAAATTCTAGGCAATAATTGCTTTTATAATATAATACAGATAGACACACTCACATGTTATTTTATTTTGGATTATTATTAACCATTTTATTTTGGTGTTAAGGCACAATGTCATTATGCAATACTAATTAATACCTCAAGTAATCAATGTTTGTGGGTTAATATATTCCATTCAACATTTTAATAACAGTAAACAAAAACAGCTCAGCTATGCAGGAAAATCCATCAAACCACACAGATGGTTATAAGGTTTTCATTATGTGGTTTCCATAGCAATCATATTGCAAATCTGGAAGCTTCTTGCAAATAAGCAGCTTGTATTTACATGCCTCTCAGCTGCAGCACAAAACTCT